GGAAACAAGAATAAAGGAACCCCGCATGAATTCCAGAAAAAAAAGAAAAACCTTTATTGGAGGCTCTTAATGCGATAATAAGACAAAATAAAGAAACAAATAGACGGAATTATTCCCTCTCTTTTAAGAGTTACATGCCTTAAGAAACATACAAATAAACAAAAAAGAATCCGAGAGAAGATAATTCTTATGATGGGTGTGCGAAGGCAAAGAGTTGAACGTACACCCGAAGAAGACGTACGGTACGGTACAAGAAAAGAATTGAATCAACCAATGATGATTGATATAGAAGAGCATACAAATTAAAGTGTTCCTTTCCTTTGAAAAGAAAGAAAATAATGTTTATTTTTGTATTTTATGACTGCGATTAGGTTAGACAGCAAGAAGAAGAAGAACAAGAGCGCTGCCGACAATCATCAAGGCCTGCTGATGGATGCAGCTTTCCTATTGATTCAAGAAGGTAATCTTGAAGAAAATCCCCCTTTAAATGCTTCTTTATAAAGAAAAAAGAAGCTTCTTAATCAATAACTAACCAGAAGAAAACAAGAAAATACCATAATGAAGCTTTATACAGCTTTCTAACCAACCAACTATTCAGTAGCTGCCTATACACCCCAGCTGCTCGCTGTCTCGCTGCCGCGGCCCGCCGTGGAGGGTATATCCTTCGCGCTTAAGGTAAATAGAGCATAATCGGATGGAAATCTTCTCTTTTTTTTGTATTTATGAGTTTTAAAACCTTTAGTTTGTTTATTTTTCAAAGAAAAAACAAAACATACCCCAAAATAGCCTTAGATTGACGACTGTCGCTATATCACACATATATAACGAAAGAAAGAACAGCGGCCCATAGACAAAGGCAGCGGCTATACGTGCAGATCGTGTCTTCCTTGATTTTTTATCTTCTTTTTTGCTAAATCGCTTTGTAAATGTATTTTATAATTAAATTTAAATCTATTTTATTATGTAGTTGCCTTAAAGAGCGCAGCCGACACCAACATATGACCCGCACCGGTCACCAGCAGCAACCACCACTGGTCTACAAGTAAAAAAGAGGAAGTAAAACAATAAAACATAAAAGAAGTAAATAAAATTTAAATTCATTTTACAATTTAAATCATGTTTTATTTATTTAGACAACATATATATGCTAAGGGTGTCAGTAAATAGACATCTTAATTATATAGCCTTTACTACGTTATATATTTTCTATTACAGCAAAACAAAAACAACAAAAATAAGCCACTTGCTGCCTACTCTAATTTTATTGCTGCTGCTGCTGCTGCTTCCCGCATTGAGACTACTGCTGCTGCTGCTTCATCCGTTGCCGGAGCTGCTGCTGCCTCTCCTGCTGGTGCTGCTGCTGATGCTGTCGCACTTGTTGTTGCTGCTGCTGCTACTACTTCTATTTGAGCTGTTTATGCTGCTGTTGTTGCTGCTGCTCCTGATGCAGCAACAGCTGCAGCAGCAGCTGCTGCAGCAGCAGCAGCTGTCTTGCCTACGTTATGTAGGAGTGGTCCACTGGTCTGTGTCTTCTAATCCAAACAAATATGGATGGTGTACAGACACCCCAGTAGAAGTATAAAGCTGTAGCATCCTGATTCAATAGCTAACTAGCTAGCTAGCTGTTTTCTAGCTGTACAGACAGATTTATGTATTAAATGTTAAACCCTAAACCCTAAAAGGGATAAAAGAACAAGGAATCGCAACAACGCATGCGCATCTCTTTCCTCCCTTCCTCGTAGTCTAATGCGATTATTGTACATCATTTTCTGTTAGTAAGAGATACTTTTAACCCTAATAAACTCTAAACCCTAACAAGGGTTTAGGGTTTAGGGTTTATTGGAGTCCAGCGGTTTAGGGTTTAATAGGCAGACGATATCTCTAATAGTTACTCTCTCTCCCTTCTATTGTTGTGAATGTTATTTGTTTTGTTATTTCCTTTTTGTATTTATTCAGCTACTGTTTCTCCTTTATACTCTTTCTTCTGTCTGTACACTGTAGAAGGCTGCTCCTACCACCACCACTTCCTACCGGGTGTAGAAAGAGAGCCATATTTACATTTTTAGGTTATTTCTGATGAGGAAAAGGGTAAAACAAATGAATTAATCTTTTGTTTTATCCTCTTTCCTTATATTTTATAGAAGAAAAAAAGAAGAAAAACAAGCGCTGCATGGCGACAACTGCCGCTGCGAAGCCCGTATAGCACAGACAGCACATACAGCAGCGCTCCTCCTGCTCCCTTCTTTCCTTTTATTAGTGTTATCATTAAATAATTCACCTTTTCATTTATAAATATATATAAATATTTTTCTTAATTTCCTGTATTTTCCCCGTAAAATACACGACCGGCACCAGTACGTACACCCCAATTTACCGCTTTCTTACGAATCGGCAGTTTCTTCTTATTCTTAATAGACGTTTTTACTGTTTTTCTTGTTTTTTGCCTCTTTATTACATAAATATAAATAAATAAATCTAAATATACTAATGATGCAGTTTATTGCGTTGTATTTACTGTTTTTTTCCTGTTTTTCTTTCCCTTTTCTTCTTTTTTATGTAACTCCCAAGGAAAGCTGAAGGAATGCATCATGGTGGAGAAGAAACCCTCCATAAAATCCTTTTATTTCTTGTTAATTTCTTAATTTAATAAAATAAATAAATAGAATTAATTAATAAAATATATAAATTATATTTATTTCCTATTTTTTCTTCTTTTTTTTCCTATTATTCAGTGGCTTCCACCTACGAAACCCGCCTCTTCATCAATGGTGAATTTCGTGAACCAACAGGAGAGCGAACTTGGGAATTAATTAATCCAGCAACAGAAGAATTAATATGCGAAATAAGGGAGGCCAGGTAAACCCTAAACCCTAAACCCTAAACCCTAAACCCTAAACCCTAGTAAACCCTAAACCCTAAACACTAAACTCTAAAAACACTAAATCCTGTAGACCGTAAACTATATGCGGAAATTAATTCATCCAGCAACTGAAGAATTAATTTGCGAAATCAGGGAGGCCAAGTAAACCCTAAACCCTAAACCCTAAACCCTAAACCCTAGTAAATCTGGGTGTGTATTTATTTTTCTTTTCTCTCTCCTTAATTAACATATGTCCTGGATTATAAATACCTTAATTTATATATTATATTAATGTATATATTTATATTTATTTATGTATATACATGTATTCAGTAACGAGGATGTAGATGCAGCAGTACGAGCAGCACATGATGCATTTCCTTCTTGGTCCTTGGATATAGGAGGAAGAAGAAGAGGAGAATTACTCATTAAATTAGCAGATTTATTACAACAAGAAAAAGAATTCATCGCTAATATTGAATGTATTAATGTTGGTAAACCTATTCAATATGCAAGGTAATTATTATTCAACTGCAGCAGCAGCAACAGCAGCAACAGCAGCAGCAGCAGCAGTAACAGCAGTAACAGCAGCAACAGTAGCAATTGTAGCGGTCTTGTCCATGTTGTTTAGTCCGTATAAGCAGGCTTTAGGCTTTAGGGTTTAGGGTTTAGGGTTTAGGGTTTAGGGTTTAGGGTTTAGGGTTTAGTATGAACATAAATACTCAATAAACACCAAAATAATGAATAAATACATCTTTTTTCCCCTTCTTTCTTCCTTTTAATTATTTTTCTTTTGTTTTTTCTTTTTCTTTTTCTTTATTTATATTTATATTTATATATATCTATATAGAGAAGACATGGATGCATGTATATCTACATTACGTTACTATGGAGGCTGGGCAGATAAGATAAGAGGGGGATCTTATTTATCTACTTTTTATTCTAATACTATTAATTGCCATACAAGAAAAGAACCAGTAGGAGTTGTTGCTGCAGTAAGTATTTATTTATTTATTTATTTATTTATTTATCTACTTTTTATTCTAATACTATTAATTGCCATACAAGAAAAGAACCAGTAGGAGTTGTTGCTGCAGTAAGTATTTATTTATTTATTTATTTATCTTATTTATTTATCTTATTTATTTACCTTATTTATTTATTTATTTATTTTATTTATTTATTTATTTATTTATCTACTTTTTATTCTAATACTATTAATTGTCATACAAGAAAAGAACCTGTAGGAGTTGTTGCTGCAGTAAGACAAATAAATAAATAAATATATTTATTTATTTATTTATTTATTTTATTTATTTATCTTCTTTCTTTATTCATTTTTATTCTTCTTTATTCTTTTTTGTCTTTCTTTTATTCATTTTTTCTTCTTTTTTATTCCTTTGTTCTTTTGTCTATAACTTTATATCCTATAATTATAATTTTACTCTCTTTCTGCTGCTGCTGCTGCTGCTGCTGCTGTTGCTGCTGCTGCTGCTGCTGCTGCAGATAGTACCATGGAATTTTCCTTTAATGCTAACAGTAACAAAGGCAGCAGCAGCAATGGCATGCGGATGTACAATTGTTGTAAAAACAAGCGAAAAATCTCCTCTTTCTGCATTAGCATTATGCAAACTTGTACAACAAGCAGTAAGTTATTTATTTATTTATTTATTTATTTATTTATTTATTTTGTTTATTTTATTTTATTTATTGTATTTATTTATATTTTATTTACTATTATACTCTTTCTGCATTAGCAATATATATAAACTTGTACAACAATCAGTATGTTTATTTATTTATTTATTTTATTTATTTATTTATTTGTATTTATTTATTAGTATTTTATTTATTATATAATTATGTATAAAACTATATATATATTGATATAAATATTATATATAATAATAATAATATGCATAAATAGGTGTATATAATAATAAAGTAGTAAAAATAAATAAGTAACCCATAAAAAAAAAAAAAAAAAAAAAAAAAAAAAAAAAAAAAAAAAAAAAAAAAAAAAATTTTCCCC